TTAAAAATACTGGGAAATGTTTTTTGTTTTGGATTGATTGCCTTATAGGTTGGTTGGGTGTGTGTGTTGTTGTGTGGTTTGGGTGTGTGGTGTTGTACTACCTATTTGGTTTTGGGTGTGGGGGGGGGGCCGGTTTCAATTAAAATTGGGAAAAAAAACCCCCCCCAAAAAAAGGGGGGGGCACTTGAGGTTTTGCCCTTTTTTACATGGGGAAAAATTCGTTAATGATGGGATGCTTAGGTAAATGAAAGGGGGAGACCTTTCCTATGTTTTTTTTTCCTTGACCCCATAATATTTTGGGAACCCTTACTAACTTTTCTTCATAATTGTAATGGTAAGTCAAAGGTTTTGGATATGTTTGGGTATAGAATCTATTGAATAACCTACAAGGGGTTTCATGTTTGGAATGAAAGTTTTGAACAACCTTTTTAGTGTGGATGACATTGGTGCCCTGCATCTGGGGGTGAAGTACTTGTAGGAGAGATGATTCAAGGTTCAATGTTTTTTGGTGGTACAACCTTGTTTCTGAAAACCCCAAGTCCCATCCACATGTTTTTTGGAATATGTTTCCCTAAATGAAAAATGAAGACAAGTTCAAACCTTTATTTCATGAGACAAGTTGAGTGTGTAGGTAAAGGTGATGGGTGGAATGTTCCACGGGTGAGAACTAAACCTGGAAAGGGGTGGGGTTGTGGATTTTCCCAAGTTGAAAAGGTGTTGACTAACATCCCAGATAGTGCAAGGCCCAGGAGTTGAAAAAGAACATAGGGTTTTTGTTTTTTTTAAGAATAGGCATTGATTTTTGAATATAAGTGCAAAGTGAGGGTTTGTCCCATGATGAAAGAGGTGCCAATGAAGTGGAAGAAAGTTTTAGTGTTTTTGTTCGAGAGAAACTGGGGCTGATTTTGGATGGTAAAGTGGGCAGGTGATCCTCACCTACAATGAAAAGGTGCATGTGTTGTTTTGAAAAATAGAGGGTTTTTAAACATGAGGCTACCCTACCAGGGAAGAAAAAAAGTTGATGTCGAAGTTTGGACTTTTCCCTCTCCTGACCATGGGTATTCCTTGAATGGAATTTAGTTGAGTTTGTTTTGAAGGGGCTTAATTGAAATGTTTAAAGTTTGATTTGTGATATAGATTATGAAATAGATGTAGAATGGTCTGTGTAAAATTGGGAGTTTAAAGCCCAAATTGTGTCACATGGAATTTAGTTGGAACCATGTTTCGAGTAAGACTTTCTAACACCATGTTTTTGAAGATAATGTTTAAAGGGTGGGAAATGAGAGAGGTGGGAATGAAGGAGGTTTTTTTGTCAGATGATGAGTGAGAATCTGAAGATTAGTTTAGTGACCATATATGATGAAGTTTTAATGATGTAAAGTTTGGGAAAGTAATGGTGGGGAAGTGGTTAACGACCTGTTTGGACGAGATTGCGGATGAACCAAATGTTTTTTTGCCTATTGCACTAGTTGTGGTTGAAGTTAAAACAAGGTTCGTGACATGGTTTTCTGGAACTACTTGATTTGATGACCTGGTGGGGCTTGAAGTAAAAATGTTCATCCTTTACCTTTATCTCAGACCAACAAAAGGCAATTTGTGATCACACTTTATAATTTTTTTTTACATTCTTGACCTTGGCCCTTGAATAATTTTTACCTGTATTTTCTAATTGCCCCCCAAACACTTTTTTTCCCATGAAAAAAACCCTTAACGTCTAATGTGGAGGCTCTACAATGACAAAAAATAATGGTCCCTTTTATTTTAAAAAAATAATCAACAAAAATACCATATCATCCATGTTCTTTTTTTAACCTTATTTCTTATAGGCAGTCCCTAATTTACTTCCTCTGTTCTTAGTAGTTCTCAGAGTTTCTTAAAACACATTTCCTCCACAATGGCAAACCAAGTGGATCCACACCACCATAGACGACAAACTTTCGGTTTTTTGCCTTTCCTTCTCCTGCCTACTACATTGAGGAAGACGAAAAACATGGGTCATCCTTCAAACCAAACCTGTCTTAACTTCAAGAACACAACCCTTGAAGAAGAAGCACACTAATTTTTTTCCTTTTAATTAGGGATTGAAGCCAATTAAGATTCTAAAACAATACATTGTTACAAACGAGTTTTTTTTTCTCAACTGAAATCACATAACGCCCCACATAATTGTCCCAGCCACGTCCATTTAAAACCCAACATCAACATGCCACTGAACCTAACTATACGCATTTGGCCCAAAATTTTTAACAGCAGAAGTTTTAGTTGTAGCAATTTTCCACCAAAAATAGGACGCCCATTGAGACTGAAAAAGGAAAGCGACCAATTTGGAGATTTCCAACTCCCAAATCGAAACCTCCTGAATGATTAAACCTTTTAATAAAATTGAAGTTTTTACAAGATCTAATATTTTAAGTTAGGGGTTTGTAAGATTCGAAATTTATTAAAAGGGGTGAGAATGGATCATGAGGAGAAAACACAACTACAATGACAATTGTTTTTGGATTTCAAAGAAAAACACTAATATAAAAGAGAATTTTTTACGATCCAAAGTTTCAATGAAGTTTTTTTATATTTGACTATTCCCCGTTCCCATCTTGATAGCTGCTTCCACTCTGATCTATTGTACCTCTGTTCCCTCCTCCCTTTCCCCTTGTTCTTTCTTCTGTTTCGTTCTTCCAACCATTTTTGTTTCTCCTTCTTCTTATTCTTCCTGTCTTACTCCTACCTTTGCTTCTCTATTTATCTCTTCTTTCTCTTCTCTTCTCTTCTTATCTTTCTCCCTTTTCCTGTTTCTCATTATTTCATACTCCCCCTCTCTTCTCTTACTCTTCTCCCTGTTCCTTGTCCCTTTTTTTAGTCATCAATGCCACTAAAGTTTTCAAAACCAAATTACTTGTCCCTTTTGTAATTGGTCCAGCTATAATGGAAAATGGAGCCTTTGCGAACTTTTATGTAGTTTAGAAACAATACCACACACTTTTAAATTTTTACTATCTTTTTTTTTTGTTAAAATTTTAATGAATTTTTTTAATTTTTTTTTATTTTTAAAAAAATTTGGGGGGGAATAATTTTTTTATTTTAATTTGTTCCAAAGTTTTTATTATTTTTAGTGACTTTTTTTTTTATATTTTACTTATTTATGCAATATATTAATAAAATATAATTAATCAATTATTTAAAAATAGTAATAATAAAATTATTTAAAAGATATCTACATAAAATTTTTAAAATATTTTTAAACTAGTTTATTAACCAATTATTAAAAAATCATTTAAAATATAAAAAATATCCAAATTTTTATCATTATTAAATAAATATCTCAAAATAAGCAAAAATTGATTATATAAAAATTTTTAAAACACAATAAACGTTTAAAAATCTCATTAATCAAAATTATTAAAAATACAATGTAAAATAAAAATAAGTGTTTTTTATACCCCAAAACTTTAAAATAAAAATACAAATGATGAAAAGAAAAGTTAACAGGGTTTTTGAAATAATTTTAAGTCCTTTTATAATGTTTTGGAAATTTTTTATTCAATTC